CTGATATTTTTATTTACGCATTCAAATTTTCAAATTTTTATAAATTCATGTAAACATTTGTGGTGTAGTTATATATAATGTTATATTGATGTTCTCTAGGCATCCCATCGGTTAATGCAATAGATCACAGGGGAGTTGCATGCCAAAAACACTTTACACATATTCCATAAGGGATCTAGTGAGCACGTGAAACTTCGTCTTAATGATAGCGTTGTCTGAAATAAAGCTTTATAGAAGTGATCATCCGGCTAAGAAGAGAACCAAATGGTAGTTTTAGGTCTTTGACATATAACATGTGGCAGGCAATAAGTGTAACATGTGTATTACACAAACTGAATCATAAACTTTAGAAACTCGGTTTTAATGATAGAGTTGGCCTTAAAAGACTCTTACATGTAGGCCCTCACATGATTTGGCAGATAGTTGCCTTAAGGCCAAAGGGTATAACCACATGATTATCACTAGAAAAGTGATGTCAAATATACGCCACATCACCTCTCACTACATGTTCACCACATATTTACTAGCCTTGGAAATGGTTATCAATAGACAATGTTTTTTTTTATTTTTTTTTATTTTTTTATTTAGATTAAAAAAATAATTAATTAATAACATAATTAGATATTTCACGTTACATAAAAACATAAAACATAAAATTTCAAATCTAGATTCCGAATAACCATAAAAAATAAAACTTAAAACCTAAATAACTAAAAAACATAGAAATTAAACATAAATATTAAAAACGTTAAAACCTAAAATTCATGCTTTTCCCGAACTTCTTTTTAGATTTTCAGAAACGCGGCTAAATTTTCCGGGTCGATATCTGGTTGCGGCTTCATGTTTAAAATTTGAAGATCGGTGAGTGCTTGTTTCCGGCGCCGAGCATTCTCCGTTGACTCGTATTTTTGTTGTAAAAAACTTAGAGTTTTGTCAATTTTGTCCGCAAGCACGTATTCGTTAATCGCTTTTCCGCTTGAAGACGCCACTTTTTTCCATTTATCCCTTCCCGGTGGCCGACGAAGTTGGACTTCCGGTGGACCCTCCCCTTCGGTCTCATTGAAGTCGTCATTGAGGTCGACACCAAAACTCACATCAGATCCCGAAGTTCTTGGCCTTTTGTTGGAACCGGTGGTCGATTCCGAATGCGAAGTCTCCGGGTTGAGGACCCATTTTGGACCCTTACGACAAATTTCCCACGCTTTTTAGTGGCCTAACGCTTTACCATTAAACTTTGTGCACACCACTCGTAGTTCACGCCATTTTCCGTTGACCGCGTCGTATATCGACCCATTTTCCTTCCCAAAAGCAAGTGAAAGTGATCTAAAACATGAACCCAAAAACTGGTTCTCGTTTGCGCGTTGCCCGTCCTTGAGTCACACAATATAGAAATCCAAGCTTTAGCTAAAACTTCCTCCTCTTCGATCCAAGTTGTTCCTCTTCTATTTGTAGCTTTTCCTTTTGATTTCCTACACCTAGATGGTTGTGTCTCTTCAACCCGGTCGTCCTCGTCGTTGTCCAAGTTTATAGTTGGGGATTGAGAACAAAGGACTTGAGATAGTTGTGTTTGGAATTATTGAGATGGTGGTGTTTGGAATTGTTGAGATGGTTGTGTTTGGAATTGTTGGGGTCGAAATTGTTGAAAACCTTGGAATTGGGATTGTGGTAATTGTTGTTGGAAGTAGTTTGGTTGAAATGGAATGTTGGTAAATAGAGGTTGATGTTGGATTGGGGATGTTAGCATTTGAATGTAATTAATCATTTGGAGTGGTTGGGGTTGTTGGGGTATTTGGAGTGGTAAAGGTATTTTGATTTTGCTCCATATTTTTTAGAGATAATGAGATAGTAGAGAGATATTATTTGTAGAGAAAGATGTGTTTAATGTGTTTATGTGTTTGTGTATATATAGTAGAGGAAATAAATTGAAAAGTTTTTTTTGTTTAATTAAAGTAACGGTCAAAAGAAGAAAAAAACGGTCAAAAAAAATTAGCCAATCAACATTTGTGTGACCGTCCGTAACACACATCAATCCGCGTCACATTCACCGATAGGGGGGGAGGGGTGTTCACGCGTGAAAACCCCCTTACACGTCACCTCTTATGCGTAAAATAACACCCTATACCCCTTGGCCTAAAAGAGTCTCACATGTAGGCTCTCACATAAGATTTGGCCTATAGTTGGAAGATGGAAGAAAGGTCAATAAACAAGTTAGTTGGCATAATTCTTGATGACAGTAGGAGACAACAAGACTTCCAAGATTTCAAAATTCATATATAGTTATTGGTTCAAAGACGTACAACTCAGACAGGGCCGACTCTCAGATTTTAAGGACCCTGTGCTAAAAAGAAAAATAGGGCCCTAAATTAATATATAAGGAAAATAAACTTAAAAGTAAATAAATTAACTAAAAAGAAACATATGGAACTTAATAAAAAGTTCAAGGGTTGATTATGTAACTTTTAAAAACTGATTTTTTAAATATATTAGAAAGAGGGTTGATTATGAGATATAAAGCAAAACTAATGATCAAAAGTGTAACTTGAACTTAAAACTTCAAAATGTGGTAGCCACATTGCTCCACACTAAGGTACCCGCTTAAGTTAGGTATACACACTTTTGTGAAACTTTGAATAAATTCATATATATTTAGTTATTAAATATATAATTTATTAAAACTCGGGTCTTGTTTTTTTTTTTTCAGAGCCCTGTGCAGCTGCCCCTCTTGCCCTCCTTAAAATCGGGCCTGAACTCAGATGAAAGTATGTTGAAGACTAATCTTTCATAAAAGTTGTTATCGCCCCGAAAGTAGCTATTTATTCCAATATTTTTGAAGTGTAAAACGTAAATATTCATTTGAAGTTTTAATATGTACGGATTAATGTCAAAATTTTATTATGTTTTTTGTGATTTATTTGTAATATGCTTACAATAATTTGGTAAAAACAAAATTTTATAATTGGTCCTATGGTTTGCAAAATATTGCATTTTGAGGACTTCTATGAAAAATATCATGCCGTTGGTCCTTATGGTTTCGGAAACTGCATGAATGATCCTTCTGGTGTTAACTTTAACTTTTGAGTAGTTAGTTTTTTTCTAAATGACCAAAATTCTCTTGGACCAATTCTGAAAATTATATATATCTTAATGATCAATTATGAAAATTTAAAAGTTTTTGTGTGTGTGTGTGTGTGTATATATATATATATATATATATATATATATATATATATATATATATAAATATGTTTTGTACGAGTTTGAGAAAAATCAACAAGTTGTTTACTTTAAATAACAAGTGTTCTAAAAAAATAAGCGAAAAGTAGACTATAAAGATGAAAAGTTCATTCATGATCTATGTGCATACAACTTTGGTCCTACAAAGGCTTATTAATTGATGGTGACCATAAAGTGAGAATTAGGGATGCGAACAGGGATGGATACTACAATACTCGTCCTCGCACTAGAATACCGATCCCCATACCTGTCTCCCTCGCCCCACCAAATCCCCGACGGGTTTGAGTAGAAAAATCATCGTCGGATACAGAAAACTTGATAGATATTTGTTGGTAAAAAATATTTAAAAAAATAATAATACATAATGATTGTGAATAGTAGTGCGGAAATGCTTGTGAATAGAATGATTAACAAGAAGGAAAACATACAAAACTTCTCTTTGGAATATATTGCTTGTAGCAATGATGAGTTAACTGGGATGTTTTTGGCTTATGAAACAGCAAAAACAAATTATAAAGAATTTGGAGACATGGTTTCATTTGATGCAACATATACAAGAAACTTGTAATTTTTATCACATTTTATGTTTTATAATTATACAAGTTATATATTTGTGCATAGATGGACATATAATATGTTCATAAATGAACAATACATAAAACGATTATTTAATTTTTAACAAATTTTATATCAGGTACAACATGTTGTTTATACCATTCACAAGAATTGATAATCACAAACGTTATGTTACATCTGGTACCAGCTTACTTGATAACGAGATCGTTGATTCTTATATAGGTTGTTTAGGTGTTTTTTGGATGTGTTTGGTAAAGAACCATATACTATTGTTACCAATCAAGATCCAACCATGAGAAAGACACTTACAACACTTTTTAAGAGTGCACGATACAGACTATGTATGTGGCATATTGGCTTGATGACAAGGTACTTGAAAGTAATATATAGTTTTTTAATTTCATTTGTGAATCTAACAAATATATTTATATTTTTATAATTAAAGTCTGAATAATTTTCATAGTTGCATGTTCCTCCATAAGTTTTGGCTACTGATTTCAGGAAGCGGATATTATCATTAATTCGAATAATAAAATAGATATTATCATTAGTTGCGAGAATTGATGAATGTCTTTTGGCTTAGTGTTTGTGTATAGTTAATTCATTTTTAAGTAATTATATCATACATTATTGTAATTATAATCATCTGTGAAATATGATGTTCTTGAGTGTTGTATTTAATGAAGAAAAGTTTTGATGACTTCTAACCAATTCCAAATGTTTTCTTTTTAGCTGAAAATAACAAGTTGACTCATTTGATTCCTTTAACTTAAATCGGTCTAAATTTAAATAGATTAGTCAAACTTCATCTTTAGTTGGGAAGGTATAAAACACTAAAAACAAGATATCCAAATTTAATTAGCAGGCTTGTTTTTGCACCAGATTATAAGAGTAAAAACTTGAACAAAACCCATTTTCAATAAACACAAATGTAGAAGAAGGGAATAGGTTTGATTTAGTTTTTAAACCAGATTATGAATAAAGTTACTAAATACAAGATATAACAATATATTTTAACATATGTGTATATTATATCACTTGTTTCTGTTACATATTTTAGTTTAAACTTTTTTCTTGGAAAGACTACTCTTGAAATTTTGCATTGTACATTTAGTTCTCTTCTCATAGGACATTATATTTTGAAAACTTTATTCAATCACACCAACAAAATGTTTAATTAAATAACATTGCGATAACTTAGTTTTCAAAAGAATGTACTACAAAGAAAGGTAATTACAGTGTTATAAGAGTACACTGTTATTTTTTGTTAATCCAAAAGATGCAAAAATATTTGGTATTTACAACTGCATTGCTATAATAAGTAAAATAGCAGCACTTCAAGTTTAATGGAAGCAGTGAATAAGTACCTTCCTTAAGAGGTAGACAAACACTTTCATTTCATATATGCATCTTTCCTATTTAAAAGATTAGGAATCAAGGCTTCTTTTCAGTAACACCAAAAAAACAAAAAGTTTTAGAACCAAAACACTACAGTAGCTAGATAACACATCCATCCAACTAAACATGTTATTTATTCTTGCCTTTGCCCTTTTTACCCTTGTTCTTCCCCTTGTTATTTCCCTTCCCTTTCTTGTTTTTTGGATCCTGATTGTTACCACTAGTGCTTTGTTTTTCTACAACCGAATCCACCATTGATTCAACATTGCTATTCTTCGCCTTCTTCTTTCCCTTTCCTTTCTTGGTTTTTGAATCCTGAGTATTACCATCATTGCTTTGTTCTTCTTCCACCATGTCCACCTGTGAATCAGTAGCATGATCCTCCTCCTGATGCACCTCACTTGTGTTGCTGCTTTCTGAAACTACCTTTTGCACAACCTTCGAGTCTTGAGTTTTGTTCAAGAAATCATCTATCAATGGCCTATTACCTTGTAGATGCTCCACAACCAATTGCAAAGTCTTCATTGCCTCATTAGTGAAAACACCATGCTTCTCTTTATGTTCACTGAAAATATAAACTCCACAGATCCATTAAATCATTCAGAAAGAATCAAGATGTATGTATATATTGCAAGTCTAACCTTGTATCAAATGCACAAGAAAGCACTTTCAGTTCACCAAGTGCACCAGTTACTTTGCCTATTGTATCTTCTCCAGCATTGGACTTTTCATCTTCAAGAACAGTAGCCAATGTGTGTATATCTTTGTCCAATTCTTTCTGCAAAAAAAAAAACAATTAACAAAAAGTTTTTCAAGTTTAAACTAATGAAGGTAAAACTAAAAAACCACAATGCATTACCTTTATCACAACAGATGATAAGTTCAACGCCTCTCCCTTCTTCTGCTTCAAAGATTCAGATATTTCTTCAAGATTTCTCCAATTCAAAGATTTCACATTCAGTTTAGCAGATTGTTTTTCTTCAAAAATTGTCCCAACACCAACATTCTTTGAAGAAGGTTGACTAATTTGTATGCTTTTCCTTGGGAATAATACATTCATTATCTCTTCCTTTGATGTCCTAAGATCCACAAATATAGCATAAGGAACATTGATTTTTCGGCTTACATCTTCTGCACTAACAACTGCCATTAAAGGATCATTGATGCTCATAAATGCTTCTGCAACAACATCTGGATTCAAGTTCAAGTAACGCCCTTTTCTTCTCCTAAGAACTATAGACACAAACTTCTGTGGAAGCAAATAAGCAATATTGTTTCTTCCCAACAACAAATTAAGTAGCACCTCAGAGCAATCTGATACTTTCAGACAGATTAAAGACAGCATCATGACAAGTTTCAACACTAAAAGTGGATGATAATAAGCAGGATTAACATTTGAACTTCTTATCCATGCTCCAGTGTCCACTTTATTGTAGAGAATTTCTTGGATTGTTTGAACAAAAAAGACAACAGTTTGCTGTGGAAACATCTGTTGAGATGCTGAAAGAGTTATACTTTGAGTGGAAGTAGATCCAAGAGTTGGAAGCCATGCAAGAAAAGAAGATCTTGTAGTGAAAAACATTCCTTGAGAAAAAGATGTCATGAAAAGAAGATAATCCAAAAGATACACAAAACTATGAGGTGATATGTATCCAAGAGATCTCCAGTTTGCTCTATAAACATCTTCCAAAGCATCCTGAAGTTGTGGAGCAAAATATGCATCATTCAAGATAAAACGTGAATAGCTTCCAGAAACAACTGGATTGTTGGAGAGAAACTCTTGAACAAATGACTTCCATGTGGGATTCCACTGAATCCCAGTGATGATCTTTTTGTAAAGTGTAACAGGTTTTTGGGAACCAAAACATATCATCATCATAATCCCAATTGTTGAATAAGAGAGCTCACTCTTTTTGTGTAGATTTTGAAGAATCAGATCTTCAAGCAAATTGAGGGAAAGATAGGTTTCACGTAGAGAAATCAATTCTCTAGAGATTGATTTTCTCCAGTCTAAAGGAAACACAATGTCAAAGTAAGACATGGAGATTCGAAGAAATTGTTCGAGTGTCTTTGTATGATGATGTGTGAGTTTGAGATACGAAGAGTCTAAAAGAAACTTGGAAACCTCAAAAATGTGAAGAAGACATGAGCTTTGATGAAATGAAGAGCCATTTGTCTTCAACTTATACAGAGCTTCAAGAGTTTGGAGGACTTTTATCCCCACAGAAAGCAATTCAACTTGCCAATAAGACCGAATAGCAACAACCAACTGTTTGCTACCAATATTTACACGTTTCCCATCTTTAAAAACACCTTTGTTCCCAGAGTTTCTCACCCAACTTGCATCTTTGTTGACTAACAAGTAAAGTGTGTTTCCTTTTACACTCTGTTTTCTAACTCCAAAATAATTCAAAACAAAATCAACATGCTTATTGTTTTCATCAGCTTCTGCATTTTCAAAACTTTCAAGAGTTTCAAAGATACCCATGATGTTCTCTTTCCATAGATCCCAACAAAAAACCAAAGTTCTTACAGATACTTGGTTTTGCAAGATCTTTTCGTCACAATGCTTGTTAATATCAACAGGTAATTCATCCTCCCAATCATACTTTGAAGAATTTAAAGAAAGATGGGCTTCCAAGATTTTCCTATTGGACAAGATTTCGCCTCTCAAACAATTGTTTTGTTGGGAAGATTGTAAGTTTCTCTTTAGCTCTGACATGTTACTTTGTTGATCAGAGAGTAGTTTAAGCTCCCTACATACAAAACCATAGAAAATGTCTGAATCACTTTTTGCAAGTGACTTTGCTCTCTCACAAAGCTCTTCCTTTTGAGCAAACTTCTTCAATGGCCAACCTGAGCTTCCATTTCCCCATAATGAATTGAAAAACACATACCAGATGATAAGTGATGCTGCATCCTTAAAGTTTCCAGCTTTCCCTAGCAAATCAACTTCTTTTAAAACATCACCCCATGACCTAACAAGCTCTGCAGCTTCAAGAAAACAACCAGATTCTTCTTCCAACAACAAAAGTTCATCAAAGCAGCCTTTCGACTTCAAGAATACACGTTTTGATTCCATAGAACAGAAGCATCTAACAAATTTCATCATGGATTTAGAATCTTTGCGCTCATGGTAATCAAGAGCACAACTCTCCAAAAACTCTTGTTCGATCTTTTCAATTTCTTTGCTTCTAACAATCACATGCTCTTTCCAGTATTCTATATACTGCATGCCTTTATCAAAAAGCTCCCCCTTTTTACAAGCAGATAGACAATTAGCAAACTGATCTCCTTTTGAGTAAGCTTCAGCTGCATCACTATAGCACCCTGCTAGTAAGAAACACTCTGCTGCTTCATTAATCTTTCCACACTTCTCCAAATAAATCTTCCCTACACAAACAAAACAGTTGAAATCTTAGAACTTTATAATCAAAACAAGGATTAGACACGTGTTTATGTTTATGATAGAACATGAAGTTACCAGCTCTTTCATACTCCCTCAAATCACAATAACAAGAAGCTGCAGACTCAAGTTTTCCAATAGATTCAAACATTTCTGCTGCTTCTCTAAGGTAACCAAAATAAGCTTCAGGATTTGTTCCTTGCATCTGATCAGCAATTGCTCTAAGTCCAGAAGCTTTAGCCAATTTCTCCCAAATTGTATCACCAGCTCTTTCAAAGCACATTGTTGCCATTACAAAGTTGTTCTCATAGTAAAGCTAAAAAGTATATAAAGATTGTTGAAACGTGTCAAATGAGAGTAAAGGGGCTTAACTTTTAGAGAATCAAAACAACAAAATGAAAGAAAATTACCTTTTTACCCCGCTCCCGCCACTCTTGAGGGCTGCTTGCTACCCTCATAGCCTGTGCTACACTATCATCCAACTTCCTAACTTGAACAAGGCCCTTTCTCTTCCAGTAGTGAAACATTGGCTTTGAGAGCTCTTCTTTGTTCTCACATATCCAAAGCCTTTGTCTTGTTCGAGTTATAGCAACATACAGTTGTTTTAATTCGGAACATAATACATTATGTTTTGACTCCTTGAAGGTTGGAAAAGAGGGAAAAAGTTTCCCATCAAGCAAATCTTGATCATTCATGTATCCATATATAACTCTCCACCTATCTTTCAAAGGTGATGTCCCAAAAAAGTTGTAAAGCAATACATCCTACAAGCAAAAGAAGTCAATATTAACTTGGATATTATCAAACTTATTTCAAATAACAGAAAACATAAGACACTAACCTGAAACTCAAGACCCTTACATTCTACTATAGTAAGCACAAGAGCTTGTTTTCCAACATATTCACAAATCTCAGTCTTTGCAGAATCATCACGTACCAATATCACTTGTTCAGCTCCAAAACCAATAATTTCTCCACTAGATCCGGTCCCACCAAAGATTGTCACGATGGCATTTTCGTCATTTCCAGATTCAAGCAAAACAGGAGCTTCTCCAGAAATGAGACTAGTCTCAGGCTCCAAAAGGTCAATTGAATGAGCAAAATAATGGTATAGAATTTCAATGACACTTTGAGCTAATTCAAGAACACCTGCATGAGTTCTGAAGTTTTGTTTCAACTGAAACTTCTCTGAAACTTGACCTTTTTCTTGTTTTCCAGAGCTTAAAAACTCAGTGTAGAACAGAGATCTTATATCTTCAAACCTGAAATCAATCCCTCTTGCAATGGTTTGTGCAGTATCACCAGCAAAAATAAATCCTTCTTCAACATTTTGGCAAATGTATTTGAAAAGAGAAATCTGCCTCATGCTAAGATCTTGAACTTCATCAATATATACAAAATCCATTTGATCACCTTCATAACGCCTGCTTTTAAGTCGATGATGAAGGTCATTTACTAAATCACCCCAATCGAATTCCCCACGTTCGGTTTTCATCTTTTCATAGGATTGAAAAAGGGTGTAAATATCATCTCTCTTTTGTTTTGTTAAAGTGGATGCACGTACTTCAGACAATAAAGAATAATCCTCATAGCTCAATTTGCCATTACAGCTAGCTCCTGCATGCAAGCCTCCTTTTATATGAGAGATTATCTCAGTGAACACTCTGGAGGCATCAAGCTTCTTTTTTAGATTCGAATTGAAGTGGGGCCAATAAAGTAGATGAAATTTGTCGAATGTGACATTCCTTGATCTTATGAAAGTTTGCAATGCAATGGATCTTGAACTTATATGGTTTCCATGAGAACCTTCTCTTGCTTCAGGAAATCTTTCAAAGAAAGAATTTCCCAATGTGCAATCCATCATCATTAAAAACTTCTCAAATGTCATAACAAGAGGATAACTTTTTTCAGGGACTTCAACAAATGTGTCTGGAACATTGGAGTCTACTACCACATCAACATCATCAAGATTAATCTCTCCAGATGAATTCCCATCACTTGAAATACTGTCATCATGAACATCAACACTTAGAAATCAGAAAAACACCATAAAAGTAGAAAAGATCCAAAGTGAAAAAACAAGCATTTACATTTTACACACCTTGTAAGGTGGGAAACATGGTGTTTCACTGCATAACACAATCTCGGACTAACTGTCACAAAAAGCTGTCGCAAAATAATCGGTTTGTTTTCTTTTTCATGATCATCATCACTTTCAACATCTTTAACTCCACTGCTTTCTGCTTCATCAAACCCTTTAGAAGCAAAGCGAAAAGATTGTTCATTTTGGTATAATTTCATTGTCAAAATGGTGGTTTTTCCAGTTCCTGATCTCCCAATTATGAATGAACTTTTTCTAAATAAGATTATGTCCATCTGTTCATCAGTTACTTGCATTGGTAGATCAATATCTTTCCCAGAAAGCAAATGATTCACCACTCCAGATGATAAGGAGTAGAACTTCATAAGCAATAAACTTTCAATCACTTTAGAGTTCTCAACATAGCTTCTTCCATCACCATTTGTACTCAGATCACTTTCATCTTCACAGCTATTTAGATTACGAAATCTGATAATCTCAGGGGTAGCTGCCCATATTCTGGGAACTTCCAAATCCCTGAAAAACCAAAAATACAACATCACAATATGAAGAAAAATATAATCAAGAATGTGAAATCATTGTTTCATTAAAGTTTGTTTAAATAGACAAAAAATGAACATACCCCTCCAAAGATTTTGCTGTGCAATGACTAATATACTCATCAGTGTATGCAGCAAATATGTTCTCAAGACGTTTTGTGAGTTTTGAAATCTCATCAAAAGGTAAAAGATCCCAAATCTTTAGTACTTGTATGTACTTGACTTCCTTGATAATGTCAACAGTGCATACAACATACAACCCTTCAACCTTAAATTGTTTCATAATCTGAGATGATCTTTCACAACACAAGTCTACACTTCTGTTCTTAGGTCTCCAGCCTGAAGAAAGTTTCAGTAAAAGATTTAAAACCACCTTCTTCAATCGAGCATGTTTCAGCTTTGCAAATGATCTTCTGAAATCATCACTGAATAGAACCTAATGGAAACATGTGAAGCTAACATTACAACGAATTTTGGTAAAAACTAACCATTTTATAATCTGAACATACCTTCCATTTTGCGTGTCTAAAAAGTACACTTTTCCCATTAACAAGATCATCAAGTTGCTCAAGCTCTTTCTTTGCAGATATTATTGTCATTCTCAACAACTCATCAGCATCAGCATCAAACAAACACTCACGATTAATGGCATCTTTGACTATATCTTCCCATACAGATTCACTGTTGACTAGTGTTCTCTCATTTCCCAATATCCAAAGACAATGTCTAGAAAGAAACAAAAGAAAAGACATAATTCTGGGAGATAAAAAAAAAATGGTATCTTTAATGATCAATTGTTAAGAATGTCACCTTGCTCTTGTCAGGGCAACATTAGTCCTTTGAGGACTATCTATGAAGCCAACAGAGCCACGTGTATTAGATCTTACTGTAGATAAAATAATTATATCTTCTTCTCCACCTTGAAATCCATCAATTGATTTCACATTCACTGAAAACCCATCAACTTTATCATACTTATGAGCAAGTTTTTCTTGAATTGAAACAACTTGTGCAGCATATGGAGATACCACACCAATACTTAGCTTCTTCTTGGACTCATAACATGCTATAAATGTTAACAAAGATGTTACTAAATACTAATATAAACTTTGTATAAAACAGTTGGAAGTGATAAAATATAACAAACCTTTGTATAGACTTTGTACAATCTTAATCACCACAGCTACTTCAACCAAATTTCTTCGACTCCTTCCATCATCATCCTTTTCTTCTCTTCCACCAACAATATTTATAAATGAATATGGACCAAACATTGGTCCTGAAAGATATTTCTTTTCATAACTTTTACATGTCACATTTTCAGCATCAAGAATTTGATTCTGATAGAATGTCAAGTTTGGAAAGAGACTAATGGATGGATGCATTCGATACTGAACATTCAGTAGATGCTTTGAATGTCTCAAAGAACTCAATCTGTCAAATAAACTTCTTCCAAAACCAGATTCAGCAGAAACCTGTCCACAAACATTCATTACATAAAACTAAAACTAAAACAATAGATAACAAAACTCAGAAAAATTAGAAGAACAAAATAGACTTACATTACTTGTAACCATTGCAGGTAATTGGCATTCATCTCCAATAAGAACAGCATGCTTAATTCCATGAAGTTGAAGAGGAATAGTGGATTCAGCCTCTTTCAACTGAGCAGCTTCGTCAATGACTAAAAAGTTCAAAGGCTTCATTTCAACAGTATGCAATTTGTAAGAACTTGATGTTGTGCAGAATATAAGTGAAGCGCCTTGAAAGCAGAAGTCCATCATTGCATATTTGTTCAGAATGTTGGGAAGTCGAAGTTTTTCAAGAGATCTTTGTAGAGTTTTCATAATGGAAATAGACTTAGATCTGATAGATTGGATATCAATATCCCATAACTTTTCAAAATCATCTTCCATTGGTTTAGAACTGAAAAGGTCCTCAAGTTCATCTGAATCAAGATTATCTTGAAACAACGATTCCAATGAACAAAGAATGTTCAAAAGAGAAACCATGTTTTGGAAAGTTTCTTCTGTTAAAAAACTTCTTGATATATGAGTACAAAATGTAATGATGCAAGTTCTGAGTGGAAATACAGAAGAACTGAATCGATCTTGCAAAAACTCAACAAATGATTTCACTTCAACATTGCTGATTTCACTTCCATTTTCATGTTCCTTTTCATTTTCCTTTTCCTTTCTAAGTTGTTCTTCTTTAAACTTTTCATTATCTACATAAACACAATACTGAGAAACACAATCTTCAAGCAAATCAATCATAGTTCTTAAACAATGCTTCCAACCAGTCAAAGATCCAAGGCACTCTGTAAGCCTCTTAATCCTATTCTCAAGATAGATTTCTTCAATCTCATTCCCAACTTTCAACCTCTCCTTGTTCCCAAACAACAACAAATCTCCAATAGAATAAAAACAATCACCATTTGCAATTCTAGTTTTATACGATTCCTTCACCAAACTTAACACACGTGAAGCCACTTGAACAACAGCCACATTAGTTGGAGCACATGTAAGTGTCCTACACTTCATTTGCAAAAAGATAGAGAGCATCACACTTACTGTCATTGTCTTCCCTGTTCCAGGTGGGCCCCATATTTGTTCCACAGATGAATTATGAGAACATCCCATTTTACCAATTGAAGCCATAATTGCCTCTTGTTGAGATTCATTCAGCTTTGATACAAGACTTAAATCCAAAGTTTCAAAAAAACTTAAACCAGAAGAACAACCATCATAGTTTTCCTTCACCTGTAAAAAAACACATTCCCATGTTAATAAAGATCTTAATTCTTAGTTTCTTACCATATCATCAGAGTAAAAGAGGATTGTAATTCTTACCATATTATCAGAGTAAAGAATCTCTTTAATGATATTTGAATTCCGATTCATGTGCAACGAATTCCAGATTCTTTTGTTGGTGGTTATGTTCATCAAGAAAACAACATACAAACCATCTTGGCATTCAATTTGATGTAATGTTTTAACTTTAAAACGTACAGAAGTGTTACTATCTTCATCATCTTCTATGGTTTTAACCAATGCAAAAGCCCATGTTCTTCCAGTTTGATGCAAATCATAGCCAAATTCGGGTTTCCAATCAGCTAAAATGAGTAGATCACCAGGTAATGTTCTATAAGGCTCTTTACCACGTTCACTGAATCTGTTTTTCCAAGTATCAACAGTTACATCATACACCACTTCTTTTTTACCTTTGTGTTTCACCTCACTGAAAGAAAAAACTTCAGCAAATGGAGCTCTATACATGATCTCCATAGAAGAAGCCAAATCTGCACGTGTTTCCTCTAGCAAAGGATAAATAAATGAACCAAAATATTGTTCCTTTGAGCTAAAAGTAAGTGGTATTTTCTCCACCTACAAATGATACATCAAGTCAACATAAGGATTAATGTAACAGGTATATATGATACAAGAAAACGTATCATAGAGGTTTATGTTTTCTACTTTTCAGAAAGAAAAGGAAACAACATTAATGTCACTGATCAAGAAAAGTATGTTAAACAAGATATATATAAAAATGGAAAGTTTGAAAGCTTTGTTTTATCCTTATCTTTTATTAATTGAAATCAATCAATAAATTCCCCAAAGCCATTTTTGTTGTTCTGGTTTACAAAGTAAAAACGCAACAGTGAAAATAAATGTAAAAAACAGTCCAAACTCCAAACTAAAACACAAAATGTTAAGGGTTGTTTTTTTACTGCAAAAAAGTTCTATATGTGATCTTCACAGTTTTCGGAGATGATAATGTATCATCATTAAACTTTATAGTAATATATTTTGAAAATACCCATGTTGATGATCAGTACAATACAGATAATGTAGATGTTTAATAAAATATTAGGGTTGATTTCAAGAACAAATGTGTATAGTCGTTTTCAAAAACAAGGGTTTATAGAGGAAGAAGAACCGAAAACAAGAACAAAGAACCAAGTGTGAGAAAACTACATGCACTGTGTGTGAAACTGAAACGCTCGATGCGAACAAAATGTGTGTTCGCATACAAGAAACAAGCAAATGAAAAGTCCGAATATGAAACAAAGTGCAAAAATGAAGAGAAAAAAATAGTAATATAGGAAAGAAGAACACGAACCTGGTATTTGTAGAGATCCTCGTTGAGAATATCATCAAGAGACCATGAAAATATCATCTGTGTAAAGTCATCACGACGCTGATCATCTTCTTTTTCCTTCCCCAAATAACTTCCTTCCATCATCACCTGTATCAAACGCATACAAATCAGAACTTGAACAAAATGAAAATGGGTATTCTTGTTCTTTTTAAGTTTTTTGAAAATGAAGAGGTTTCTTACTCAGTGTCGACAATTATCAGAGAGTGAAGACCTTTTCCTATTACTTTATCTGTACCAAAAAGGGGCTAAATCAAGGAGAATATTTAAAAGAACGGAGGATGATTGTTCGAAAAGAAGCAAGAAAACTGCTCCTTCGGTTTTAAGAAACCAAGTCAAGTTCAAGTCTCCTCGTCTTCTCCCACTAACCTCCTTTTCCCCTTATTCTTTTTCTTTCTTTCTCGTTTCGCTTTTTCTGTCATCCATTCATGCGATGCCATTTGTTGCCTTTTCATTTGCAACGTTTTAAAGCGGCAAAACAGACACTAGTCCCCGTTTATTTCACTAGCAATTTTTATATTGCTCTTGGTTTATGTTTATCACTAAAATTCAAACATTTATAGAAGTTGACATCATTTTTTTTTTTGTCAAATATCAAGTAGAATAAAATTTTGGGGAGGGAAAACATAACTCTATTACTTGTATTATAGAGGATAGTTATCTTTTCCATAAATATAGCATTCTTTGTATTATATTATGAACCGATGAAATTATATGATTGATTCCATCCTTTAATACTAGTCATGAAGATATCATGTATTTGTATTAGATTGGGACGGGTATTTATTTAGATGATGATAGTTATCAGTTTCATAATAATATATGAATAGAAGTTTTGTGATATATGATGCTCATAATAATATATGAAACAAAGGGTTAATTTGAACTAACTATCACAGTTTTCGAGATAAGAAGCGGTAAGAAAAGTGGAATGATCCAAAGTTACATGCTTGATATGATCTTGATATGATCAAGAATGGGTTCACAAACAAAACTAAAAAAAGAATAGAAACAACAAAATTAAGACTTCAATTCAAGAACATCAAATTAAAAATTAAGAAACGATCAAGTGTAAAAGAATAACCTGGTGTTCATAGAGCTTGTCATTGATAATGTTGTCAAGAGACCATGAAAAGATCAACAATGCAAAGTAGTGGTTCTGGGCATATCCATTTTTCTTCTAAATAGAACTTCCTTTCATCATCGTCTTCTAATGATTATCAGAAACCAAAAATAAGAATCAGATGAAACTGGGTTTTCTAGCTTGTGTTGTCGTTTTGAAAATAATCGTGTATATATTCTCTTGCTGACTAAGGAAGCGATCGTGATTCGTGGGTAGAGATCAAGTAGCAGTGTCGAGATTCTAAGATTGCTTTTGTAAAGCTTGTCCGTACATTAAAGCAAACATCAACAGTTTAATAATAAAAACGAAGCAACCAAGAAAATAACCGTTCGACTTTAAGAAACGAAGTCAAGGTCAAGTCTACGCATTTTTATTTATTTATTTTTATCGTTTCCTTTATAGCTTTTGCTCATTCATTCAATGCACTCATTCTTCTCAAATTTCCCGCATAGTGAAAGTAAGGCAGTAGTGCGGGTTTTTTTCTAAGGCCGGACGGAACGGGTGCGGGGAGCTTCCCGTCCGGCGGAACACCGCACCGTCAGCGTAGGAATGGGTTGTGCGGGAAACGGATAGGGGAGCCTCTCCAGCTCTCTCTCTCTCTTGCTGCGATTGGCCGGCCTTTTTCTTTTTATTTATTTTTTTTGTTGAAAAACAACCGTTGAATAATGGTAAAAAAATGTAATTTTTTTTTCCTGTAACGGCTACTTTTGTTTTTATTATTATTATTTTTTAATCCTTTTACCACTACTATAAATATATACATATAACTTAAAAACATCACACTATCCTCTATTCTCCCTACTTTATATCAACAAAAAAAATGAATCCCGACAAGCAAACCCCAAGTTCCGATCGAAGGAAAAAAAAAAGTCATAGTTCGAGTATAAACATCCCTCCTCGCAACATTTTTGCTATCGATTTATCCCCGCAAGGAGTTTACCGCCCCCAACTCGATGCTCTCATTCAATCCCCACTACAATTCCAATACCAAATGTTGGCCAATATTATCCGATGCAAGTTCCAAATGTTCCATCGCAAATGTTTTCAAACTTTGTTTTGTTTCCGGATCAACAATCGTCAAATCAACCTCAACCCCAAACTCAAACTGAAACTCAAACCCAAACCCAACACCACCACCAACTTGTCGATGAATCGGATGATGCGGAAAAAAAAGACATGGTTCCCGAAACTCAACCAACACCACCACCACAATGACGTAAAAGGAAAAAACAAGTGCGCGAGGGTGTCGCACAACCGGGAAGACAAAAGCCGACAGCATGGGTTCCACACGAAGAGCTAGTTTTGGTCAAAGCTTGGGTTGATATTTCTGAAGATTCGATTAAGGGAAATGCACAACCGGAAGAACATTTTTGGTTTCGTATTTTAGAACGATTTAGAGAAGAGTTAGGAAAATGTGACGACTACCGTACGAAACATCAACTTAATTCGAATTTTCGAGAAATAGCAAAGGGGGTTTCAAAAATTAACGAGTTGTACAACAACCTAAAAACCCAATGAAAAAACGATCATGGCGACGAAGAAATACTTCAAGAAGCGTTGCAGTTTTACCTTGAGGAAGTCGGAAAACCATTCAAGTGGCACGATTGTTGGAAATTATTGGTCCGAAGTTCTAGGTGGAAAAAATACAAGCGTGATTTTATTTTTGGAGTCCAACAATAAAAGCGAACGAAAACGGGCTCTAGAGGTTACACAACCTCCTCTGATGCTCGGGTAGGTCTAGATTCAAATCAGGACGACGAACTCGAGCTAGAAGAAATTGAACGCCCAATGGGTAGGGACAAAGTGAAGAGACATGGAAAATGGACTTCTTCGACAACATCTGATTTCAGCGTGGACATTGACGAAATGCGGAAGATAACATCATCGTTTGATCGATATAATCTAAATTTCTCCGAACGTTTGGCTTTCGACAAAGAAAAAGAAGAAACAAGGAAAAAAAGAAGCGGGCGGAAAGACAAGAAATGAAAGACATGAAGTTTTTGATGGAAAACGTCGATCATCTCTCGGGACCGGCTCTTGAGCTCGTAATGAAGAAGACGTAAAAAATTATGAAAAAATATTTTCCATATGTCGTTGGTTTGTTTGATTTTTAGTTTGTGTGTGTGTTTTTTTTAATTTCTACTTTTTATATTTTAGGTTTAATGTAAGTTTTATTTTAATTAATGAAATGCTTTTTATTTTTAATTAAAATTTATGTTTAGTATTAATTTAAAAATTATAATTCATAACAAAAAAATTAATTTTATTTAATAAAAAAAAGTGAGGGAAGAACTTCTCACTCATTCCTTGGCTTTTAGGTGAGGGAAAGGAGAGTGAGGGAAAGAGGGATATGACCCACCAAAAGTGAGGAGACAAAAACCCGAAAATGATATATTTTCATTTCAAGTCCATTCGTCTATGTTAACAATGACCCACACAATGTTTCAACGACATTCCTACTTGATTTGAGCAACATATCAACAAGCAAAGTGTTGGTGATTTTGATCATCAATGTTATTTAAGTGTAATGAGATTACTTTGTGTTGACAAAAAATGATCTTGATAAATATTAAACAAGTAAGAAAGGTGTGGAGTACACACTTGTTTAAGTTTGATCAAGTTTCAAAGTACACTGTCATTTAGGGGCGAAGCCCCTGAACGAACGGGGGTCCAAGGGGCAGAGCCCCTGGCTGGGAAAATTGATTTTTCAGATAACTGACAATTGGTTTGACCCTTATCCATATATCCGTTTTATGACAGTTTTTATGGTTTTATGACAGTTTAAAACTGTCATATGACAGTTTTCAGACAAAGATATTAAAGTTGGTTTTGGTCTCATTTTCTGGGACATACGAAAATATCATCAAACATTCTCGGTTCTTGTCTCTCTGAGTCTTATCCAATTGAAGATTTGGGAGTACCACCAAATACTTCGATTTGAAAGTGTTAATCACAATTCTCAGAATTTCCAAGCCTTTCTACACCCAAATTTTTAACACAGAGAACAAACTGGAAGAAGTGGGAGGGAAGCCCCACACAATGTTTCAATGACATTCCTATTTGATTTGAGCGACATATCAACAAGCAGGGAACAACCAACTGGAAAGAGTGGGAGGGAAGCTTCCCTCACTTTTGGTGGGTCATACCCCTTTTTCCCTCACTCACCTTTCCCTCACCTAAAAACCAAGAAATGGGTGGGAAGTCATTTTCTCACTCTTCTTTATTATTATTAAAGAAAAAAAAAATTTGTTATGAATTATAATTTTTAAATTAATACTATACATAAAATTTAATTAAAAAAAAAAGCATTTCATTAATTAAAATAAAACTTACATTAAACCTAAAATTTAAAAAAGTAGAAAATTATTAAAAAAACACACACACACACACGCACACAAACTAAAAATCAAACAAACCAACAACGACCTACGAAAAATATTTTTTCATAATTTTTTCCCTCTTTTTCATCACGAGCTTGAGAGTCGGTCCCGAGAGATGATCAACGTTTTCCATCAAAAACTTCATGTCTTCCATTTCTTGTCTCTCCGCCCGCTCTTTTTTCTTTGTTTCTTCTTTTTCTTTGTCGAAAGCCAAACGTTCGGAGAAATTTAGATTATATTGATCAAACAACGATATTAATTTAGATTATATCGATCAAACGGCGATGTTATCTTCCGCATTTCGTCAATGTCCACGCTGAAATCAGATGTTGTCGAAGAAGTCCATTTTCCCTGTCTCTTCGCTTTGTCCCTACCCATTGGGCATTTAATTTCTTCTAGCTCGAGTTCGTCGTCCTGATTTGAATCTAGACCTACCCGAACATCGGAGGAGGTTGTGTAACCTCTAGAGCCTGTTTTCGTTCGCTTTTATTGTTGGACTCCAAAAATAAAATCACGCTTGTATTTTTTCCACCTAGGACTTCGGACCAATAATTTCCAACAATCGTGCCACTTGAATGGTTTTCCGACTTCCTCAAGGTAAAACTGCAACGCTTCTTGAAGTATTTCTTCGTCGCCATGATCGCTATTTCATTGGGTTTTTAGGTTGTTGTACAACCCGTTAATTTTTGAAACCCCCTTTGCTATTTCTCGAAACTTCGAATTAAGTTGATGTTTCGTACGGTAGTCGTCACATTTTCCTAACTCTTCTCTAAATCGTTCTAAAATACGAAAACAAAAATGTTCTCCCGGTTGTGCGTTTCCCTTAATCGAATCTTCAGAAATATCAACCCAAGCTTTGACCAAAACTAGCTCTTCGTGTGGAACCCATGCTGTCGGCTTTTGTCTTCCCGGTTGTGCGACACCCTCGCGCACTTGTTTTTTTCCTTTTACGTCTTTGTGGTGGTGGTGTTGGTTGAGTTTCGAGAACCATGTCTTCTTCTTCCGCGTCATCCGATTCATCGACAAGTTGGTGTTGTTGTTAGGTTTGGGTTTAAGTTTCAGTTAAGTTTGGGGTTGAGATTAATTTGGCGATTGTTGATCCGGAAACACAACAAAGTTTGAAAACATTTGTGACGGAACATTTGAAACTTGTATCGGGTAATATTGGCCAAGATTTTTGTATTGGAATTGTAGTGTAGATTGAATGAGAGCATCGAGTTGGGGGCAGTAAACTCCTTGCGGGGATGAATCGATAGCAAAAATGTTGCGAGGAGGGATTTTTATACTCGAACCATGATTTTTTTTCCTTCGATCGGAAGTTGGGATTTGATTGTCGGTATTCATTTTTGTTTTTTTGTTGATATAAAGTAGGGAGAATAGAGGATAGTGTGATGTTTTTAAGTTATATGTATGTATTTATAGTAGTGGTAAAAGGATTAAAAAAACAAATAAAACCACAAGTAGTCGTTACAACCAAAAAAACAAATTACATTTTTTACCGTTGAATAACGGTTGTTTTTCAAAAGAAAAAAAATCGTTGGCCAATCGCAGCAAGAGGGAGAGAGAGAGAGAGAGAGAGAGAGAGAGAGAGAGGCTCCCCTTTCCGTTTCCCGCACAACCCCTTCCCGCGCCGATGGTGCAGTGTTCCGTCGAGCGGGAAGCTACCCACTTCCGTTCCCCGCGCCCGCTCCGTCCGGTCTAAAGGGTTGTTGGGAGTTAAGAGGGTGTTTGGAATTACCATCAAAAGTCATTTTTAGAATGAATATTTGTAAAATGATTTTTTGCAAAAGAAGCTTTTAGAATGAATTTGTATTAGTAAAAAGAATTTTTGTTTAACTTTTATAAGTAAATCAACAAACATTATAAAAATTCAGGTTTTGTGATTTTTAGAAAAATCTTATTTTCTTTTATGTTAAAAGTCATTTTCAAAAGAACTTTTGAATTATCCAACTAACTTTTTGTTTTTTTTTCTTTTTGAAAAAGTTAAAAGATAAAAGTTATTCTAAAAGCAATCTCAAAAATCCATTAAAGATATTTTATAGCTTAATAATATGTTTTATATTGTGTGTTTCTATTGGTAATGTGGATATTTTTAAGTGTATTATTGTTTAGACTTCAATTATTCTTATCATTCTCAATTTAATCATACCCCCTAATAATTACATTTTATTTTAGGTGGTGTTATTAAGACACCCTATTAGCCACCTTTGGACGCTCAATTTAAAAGTCAAAAGCTTTTTGTATTGAAAATATGGATTTTTGTATTGGGATTTACTCTGAACCACCTAAGAGATTCAACAAAGAAACATATTTGGACAATTTACAGTTTAGTTCCTTATAAAAAAACAAAATGACTACTTTAACTATTAAATCTTTTAAATCAAACTCACATGTCAAACAGACATATTGTTAATAATTTTATACATTTCAACTTTTTTTCATTTGACGTAAATTGTTTTTATACATTTTTTTTTTCTTTTGGCATTAATTATTGTTTTACTGGTCATAAATTTCAATTGAGCAACCACTAACCAGATTATGAAGAATGTGTAGTTAAGAATTAAATTTATTATAATGAAACTTGTTCATAATAACCACTAACCACTTAATTTAATAAAACTCCCTTAATTTATAACCCCGATGACACAAATTAACAGTGAACAAACCAAAATCAAGGTAAATAATCTATTCTAAATCTGAAATCAAATTTTGAAGTATTTATCATAATGTCGCCACCTTCATCACCACCGGTGGTCCAATGGTGGTATACCGACGAGTATAGAATATAGTGTTCCGGAGTTGAAAGTGAGAGTGAAGAGTGGAGAATTCTGTCGAGAATCGAGGTTCCATTACCATGGTCAATACATTCGTTCTTGTCAAGACCATATACGATGGCAGTAGCCATGAGTTCGTTGAAGTATTTCATATGAAGGATGAATCGGAGAAGACAACGGAGGGAAAGAGATGACGGTAGTGGTCGACGGGAGCATAGGTGGTGGTGCGTCTTTTCTGCTGGTGTGGTGCTCGTTCCGACTCCTGTGTCGGGTGTCGATCGGGAAGTTGGTGTTTTAAGATACAAAGAAAAGAGGAAGAACTGGAGGTTGATTTTTGTGAGAGAGTGTAGAGACACGAAGGGAGACAAAAGAGACGATGGATTTTGAGTGGTGGCTAATGAATTCTAGGGTTTTTGTTTTATTTTATATGGAGACTATGGTGCTGTTTGTTTTTTCTTATGCAAAATGTCTGCAGTCTGCGGATCACATCTGTAGACCTCTGCAGTAGAAGAGGTGGACCAAACGTCTGCAGTCTGAAAAAAGAAGACTGTTTGTTTTTTTAACATCTGCGGGCTATTAAAATAAACTGAAATCTAAATAAACTGATTTTTTAAAACTTCAAAGCGAATTTGTTATATATTTTTACGACTTTATTATAAATATATAACGAATCTTGATCAACTTTTATGTATTATTATATAAAAAATAAAAATAAAAATGGTATTAATTCATATACATATTTGATAAAAACCAACAACTTTGATTGCAAAGTTATAACTAAACATATAATTAGTGATCAAAGAATTTGATACATAAATAGATGGAAATAAACTTCGATTTTTTCAAATAAATCTATTAAAAACGTATGATAAATATTTTCTCGAGAAATTGATGATACTCTATTAAATAAAGTTTTACAAAATTTTGGCAAAAAAATATAAGAATATATTATGATTTTTTTTTTCATATTTATATAAACAACTTCAACGACTATTATTATAATAAATTTTTATTTATAAATTTGTTGAAAATATCATGTTTGTATCGTCAAATGTTTTTTTTTAAGTTTTGTAATTTTTTTTTCATATTGTTTATCATTAATAAAGTTGGAAAAAATATAAATTAAAAAAAAAACTTAAAAAAAATAAAGATATATATGTTTTTTTAAGCTAGAAGATGTCTGAAGATGTTAGAAGACTCTGGTCCACATCTGCGCCAAGAAGAGGGCGCGCAGACATTTTTAGGTCTGCAGTCTTCAAAAAAACAAACAGTTTGCGAAGACTAATGTCTGTGCGTGGTCTGCGCGGCGCAGACAGAAGACGTCTCGCAGATCTGCAGACAAAAAACAAACACTACCTATATTGGGGCTTACAGATGGGCTAATAGATGGCCTCACACATTTTTAATGAAATGGGCATTTTTATAAAACATATTTATTTTTAAATTAGTATTTACTAATATTTGTATAAAACATATTTATTTTTAAATTAGTATTTCATATATAATTTATTTTTTATAAATCTTTATTTTTTCTGCAGTGTTTAACAAAAAATGTGGAAACCGAATGGAAATATTTCAAATGAAGGTGTCGAGAACATGACGGCGACATGATCGTTTGCTTCCACGCAGTTATTATATTTATCATGATATTACCATTTTTTTATCAGTGTGTTACAATTTGTTACCAAAGTTTTTTTAATAGGTATTTGACTCTCGTGATGAGTTGATGGAATGGGTGCAAAACATTGCATTCTCTTTAGGTTATGTTGTCGTGATGAGAATATCAAAAGCAAAAAATGGTGTAGTATCTTATATCACACTTATTTGTGATCGTGGTCGTGAATACAAAAGCAAAGCAACAATTAAAAATTATGGAAACAAAAAAATCAATTGTAACTTTCAATTGGTAGGTTCGTATATCAAAAAATATGATGGTTGTACCCTCAGGGTGATATGTGATCAACATAATCATCCAACTGCACAATATATGGAGGGACATGCTTTTGCTAGGCGGTTGAAAGAACACGAGAAACAATTGGTGGCTGACTTGATAAATCAGAATGTTACACCACATGACATACTCTCAATAATAAAGGAGCGCGACAAGAATAATGTTTCTACACTAAAAACCATATACAATGAGCGTCTCAAGCTTCGCTCATCCCGGAATTACGGAAAAACTCCAATGCAGGTTAGTATATCCAACAAGTAGTAATTTAAATTTAATTTATATATTAAATTTTTTATTAATTAATAGTATTTAAATATAGGTTCTAATGGAAATTTTGAACGAGAACCATTTGGTTACGGATTTCTCGGTAAACAGTATTTCAAATGAATTGGAAAATCTTTTCTTCATTCATCCACGGTCGTTGAATATATGGAAGAAATTTCCACACATTTTGATTATAGATGCAACATACAAGACCAACAAATATGGTATGCCTTTTGTTCAGATTGTTGGCACAACTTCAACCAACAATACATTTAGCATAGTTTTTGCATTTATCGTTAATGAAAAGGAGGAGAACTATAATTGGGTGTTAAGGTGTCTAAAGTCCACACTTGACAAGTGTATGCACCCACACATTATAGCCACAGACAGGGAATTAACACTGATGAACGCATGTCAACAAGTTTTCCCCGGTGCCACTCGGTTACTTTCTAGATGACACATTACTGAAAATATTAGAAAGCGTTGGAGGAGAATATTCAAGATATACGATGAGTGGAAAGCCTTTCGTATAATGTGGACTATACTTGTTGACTCTCCAACATGGATAGTGTACAATGAAAACTACAAAACACTCCAATCGATGTTGAGAAAATATCAAGGTACAAATCTTATTATTTTCTAACTAGTTATTTATGATTTTAGACTCTTTTCATAGAAAAATAACATTTATATAATTGCAGATGTTTTGAATTATCTGGATGAAGTTTGGTTAAACAAATATAAGGAAATGTTTGTCTCGGTCTGGATCGATCAACATCTCAACTTTGGACAACGAACTACAAATAGAGGTGAGAGCGCACATTCAAATCTAAAGAAGTCCTTGGATGGCACAAATTCTTCTCATGATAAATTTATCGGTTGTCTTGATCAATTTGTGAGGTCTCAACTTTCATCAATACATGATGGTCTTGAAAAGAGTAGAATTGTTCGTAAATGGGAACACGCTTGCCATGTTTTAGATTATTGTAGGGTTCAGTGTCACATGAAGCTCTCGATAAACTAGTTAGGGAACTTTATCGGTTGAGTGAAAATCAAATTGACTCATCAAACTATGGTTGTAAACTACAACATAGTTGTGGCTTACCATGTGCTTACATGCTATCAGTTTACATGAACACAGGTGAGTATATTCAACAAGTATTTTTTTTAAATTTAATTAATATATTGAATTTTTATATATTAATGGTATTTCAATACAGGTGAGTATATTCCATTAGATTCGATAGATATATGTGACATCCCCATTTTCACAGCTTGAAAATACCGATTTTGTTTATGCTTTATAAAAATCAGAGTACCTCTTTTAATAAAAATGTTGCGGAATTTGTTCCCAGTAAAATATGATAAATACGTTATCAAAGCATTTCAGAAGAAAAGTATTTTTAATTCGTTTTAAAACATTTGGGATGTCATTGTCAATACAGAAACATAAGCATAAACAGAACTTACATTTATTTACACTAGTGATCTACATCTCTTTAATCTCTCAGTGTAATGTGACTTCATCTCAACACCTGTAATATAAATAAACTGAGTGGGTCAGGTTGGGAAACCTGGTGAGTACATAGGGTTTTCAACCCACAATAATATAATTATTATGTTTAAACAATCAAACAATCGACCCAATTACCCATCCCCATTCTCTTATTTACTCTTAAGGATCTATCCTAAGAGTCATCTATCCCGCATTCGTTCATTCTGAAGTCCTTTGCTTCCAGAGTTATAGGACTGGCACTAAATCCATAGCTGTCAATGCTCGTTCGTAAAGCACTAATTCCATAGTTGTTGGGTACTAAATCCATAGCTACCAGTGTTTATCTAATAGGTACTACGTCTATAGCCACCAATTCCTAACAGGTGCTAACTCCATAGCTACCAGTGTTTGTCTAATAGGCACTAAGTCCATAGCTGCCGATGTTATTTATTAAGCATTAAGTCTATAGCTGCCAATGTTTACTCACATCATCTTCTATCTCTCATCATTCATCTATCCATGTCATATCCAACATATTTGTATATATAAAATACGTATACAGTTTAAATCATTTAAAACATGTATAAAAACGTTCATTCAGCATAGACAACAAGTATTCAGATAATATACACACATAGCACGTAGTTTATATATAAAATACTTCATATCTATGTGTAAGATGAAAGTAACTATGCACTCACCTGAGAAGGTGGTGACTCGGTACTCGGACAGCGCTTCGTTTACTATAAAATAATTTCTTTCGACGAAACCTAGTATTATTATCACTAAATTTTAGTCTAATATTTACCGTGACTAATTATTATTATTATTATTATTATTATTATTATTATTATTATTATTATTATTATTATTATATAAGCGTTTAAACAATATTTTCCAACCACTTTGTACAAACAGGGGCCAGACATAAAACACCGGAGGGCAGGACCATTTTGGCATATAGCACTTCTGAAATCCAACAACCCTATGCGGTCCTTTAAACCAGATTCCCCGTACCGCGAGTAGTTAAAAAGATATTATAACGACACTTATATAAGTCATAATAATAACTCAAATATTTATTATAAATTTTATAATAACAATACTAATTTTAAATATAAACTATATTTAAAATAAGGTAAGCATAACTTACTTACAAGGGGATTTTAGCTAGGAGTCGGGCTCTGCAGGGGCAGAACTTTGTCGCTGAATCTTTCTAAGAAAGATTCGTGCAGCGCTTCGCTCACCTTACTATACTAAAACTACAGAAAGATAAGTCTAATCACAAGGGACCGAAATGCTCAGGGGATATGAAGAGAAAGACACTTAAATCAAGATAATGGTGCAAGAAATATGAGAGTCCAAGCCTCTTATTTATAGTAATTGAATTTACAAAAACTACCCTCCATAATTACTTAATG